CTAAATTATTTGATTTTCAAACTTACTACCTACATAAGGGTTTTGAATATCTATAGCGTATTGTATCAGATTAAGATAACACAATTCGTAAATAAAACCAGTATATCAAAAAGATAAGATATGAAAAGAGAAACGTGTCAGACATTTAGAAATATTTTTTCACAGAATCTGATAGGCTGATTACAGCCGAAGAAGTTAATGTAATCAGCTTATTTCACAAAATTTCACCAGAATTGATGCACAAGTACAGTTTGGTTTCTTGAAAACTAAGTAATGCACACAAAATTGGAGATCTATCTCTCATCAGCACATTGCATAAATACGTTCAGCTATGTGATGGTGTTCTTATGCATACAAATTTGTCCGGTTTCCATTTCTTTGATTTATTTAAACCATCTATGACTAAATTGGATGATGATATATCTACAAAAAATCTATTTCCACTTCAAAGAAATGTGTAAGATCTTCTTGTGTTTGTGTGTGTACCACGTTTTCACATTCTATGCCATAGCCTTTGTGCAATATAGTTTAACTCTGGCAAACTCAAATTTTGCTTGTACTTGTAGGTATTCTATTTTAATAGAACAGTTGTGATTTTCGAAATTCTCACACTTTGCTCATCCATTTTGTTTTTCTCGTTGCTTACCATCCAACCAACGGCAGCGGTGACCAGCCCACGAGTCAATGGCCGCAAATATATTGCGTAATGACTACTTACTAGTAGATTTGCTTCCATAAATAACTAACACAAACCCAAATCATGTTGATATCAAACCGCGTGAGATGGTCATTAGCAAGATATTGATAAAACTAGCGAAATATAAGGACCACGCGTTGAAAACACTGCGTAAATTAAAGTTATTTCAAGATTACCGAAAAACACAACTTTTGTAATACACGTTTAATATGTTTATTTTTAAACTCTGCAATGCTTATTTTTAAATATTTTGTTACAGTATGGGTACATAAAAACTTACTAATTATGTATTTTTTACATTTATTGAGATCTTTTTCAAGTAACGCCGTTTATAACGAATATTTAGCGTTACGATTTGTTTATCGAATAAGTAAAACGAACAAGAATAATTTCTAATTCTTTATAAATAATAATACAAACGTATTTTCTTCCTTTGATGAAATAGATATTTCTACATCTATATTTTTAAATAACTTTTTTTTATAAATATTTATATTTGAATAGGTACGTTGATTTCATAATCGAGAATCGTAATTAAATACACGCACACTTATTTCTATAAAAGTAATAAATCTATTCTATATCAAAATAAAGTTTATTAATTCTTATTAGATGCTTAATAAGTAGGCATTTTCGTATTATTCCAATTATCTTGTATAGTAGAAGGAACGGCAAATAAATTATTTCAATCGGTAATATTCCAAAAAACAAATCCTTAGTTCTTTACTGACTGTAATTATATACTATACCGGCCGCCCGTGACTTTGTCCGCGTTAAAGTCTTCTCATTTTTTCGGACTAATATAGCCTAGATGACACTCAAAAATAACGTGGCTAATAACTCTCTATTGGTATAGATTTTCAAAACCAATTCCTACTGAATTGATTTTGTCCAGAGATTATCCCCTACAACCTCATAAAATTTACCTCTATAAAATATTATTAGTGGCCGCCCGCGACTTCATCCACGTTAACTTTAGTTTTTTGAGAATCACTCAGGAAAGTTCTTTTTTTCATGGGAAGAATTTTGTAAATCTTTTTTCAGTGCACCCCTAGGCCTCATATGGAATCTACGTGCCATATTTGGGGTCTCTGGTCCCAGCGGTTTAGGTTGTACGTTGATATATCAGTCAGTTTCTTCTTTTATATATTTAGATATACGTAGTGTAATTTATTTACATATTTCCATAATACAAATGGCTCTCGTATACTGACCGATACATAATAGTATGAACGTAATTCGGCTTCAAAACTGCTTTATGTAATAATTGGCTATAAAATACTCTTTTGTTGCCAAATCTCGTCTCGAGTAGTATAAATAAACGTTACTTTTTTTGCGTTAAAGACAAGGATCAAATAAAACGAAACATATAAATCTGTTTATTATATTTGAGTCGCCATTTTGAGTCACTCGTAATAAAATATATGTGTAAATAAATTTAAATTTAGTAAGTTCTATATGTACTACGACTATTTGAAAAGACCCATAGTGAATAAGCAAGCAAAACCAAAACATTTATAGAATAATATATACAACACATCATCAATACGGTCATACACTCCTAAATGGCTATACCATTCAAATAAAATAATACATATAGATAAAATTAACTGTAAAACATTATTTATCTGAGCTTGAAAATAAAATTTAAAAAAAAGTTGTTATTTCGCAACATGTTATGTGGCATAGAAAAGAATTCAAAGATTAAAGGATATCTTAGAAGGCGTTTTAAAAAGTGCATCTTCATGTTGCTGCTATATTACGAAAATGTTCTTCAATTGAAATTCAATATGCACCTTTAATTACCAGGTTAGTCATCAGATAAAAAAATAAATAAAAAAAAAACACTTTAAAAACAAGCTTTTAATAAAAATGCGCTAAATTTTTTTTTTTTCTGAAAGAATAAAAATCTTTGTGGTATAAACTTATCAAATATACTGCTACTGTAGAATATGAGGGTTTTGAAGTCCGAATTTGATTTTAATTAAATCTTCAAAATGTTCAAACTAAGTAAATATCAGTATATCTATCTACTTGAATCTGGCGACAAGTTTTATATTTTTTAAATTGTGTAATGACGTTATAAGTCGATAATAAAAGTTTTAAAGGAAAATGTTATTTTATTCTTAAAAGCTAGCTAGCTTGTTTTTTAAGTTTTTTACTTTTAGTTTATGTTTTAGTTATCGCTTGATTTAATCGAGGATTTCAAAGCCCTCATATTCTCAGCAGTACATTTGATAAGTTTATACCACTAACATTTTATTCTTTCCTATAATATGGGTTATTGTAGGAAAGTATAAAAAACTTAGTCTGCCATCCTTTAGTCCGTCATATTAAAGGTGACGTCATCATATTTTTCGAGTTAGTCTCAGCAAGCCCTTTTATTTGATAACCATATTGTAGATAAAATATAAAAAACCTAGTCTGCCATCTTTTTAAGTCCGTCATATTGGATTTATTCTCAGCAAGTTCTCTCATTTGATACCCATGTTGTAGAAAAGTATTAAAAACTTAGTCCGCTATCTTTTTAACTCCGCCATATCGGATTAAATGTGACGTCACTATATTTTTCGAGTTATTCTCAGCAAGCCCTTTCATTTGATAAACTAACCTTTTTTATTATGACACCGTAAAAAATATCCTGGTAGTCAAAAGATATGACACATGGGCATATTTAAGTAGCTAAATTAATTCATTTTATAGTACCTTCATTTTATATTATAAGTAACCACAATAATATGTCATATCGTACTATACAACCAGATATACGACAAAGCCTGCTGACCATCCTGCGCTTGCACTTACTAAGACACCGTACCAACTTTGGAAATCTCTCATTCAACAAATAAATAAATATTATGATTATGTTTGAAAACAAGGTACTCATCACGGCTAAATAAATTAATCAAATGGCACGAAATGAAATCATACTTTATTCAAATTGACTTATTGAAAGCTTTTTTGAACAGTCTAATTTTCCTACCTACCGTTCAGGACATCTTTTAGCTGATGAGAAGAATGGGCGCAAGAAACTCACCAGCATTTAACATTACCGCTAATAATAATATTCATACCACTAATTCTATAATACTACATTGTAGCATGAACTACTTTATCGGATATAAGTAGGTACACATTTATTACCTATGTATGTATCTATCTATTACAAGGTTATCTCTATTAACACCTTCGTGTTCAATAAATATCATATAGGTAGAACACTTGATTATTTACTTTACTGTAGCTATAGTAAACCTAGGAAAATATTGTAGGTCATCATTAATGATAGATAATAAAAGACATACTAATTCTACGATTGTCAGTAAGGAAATTTTACCATCGGGTTTCGATAAAACAAAGATAGCTTATGTTATGTAGGTATGTACCAAAAGATTATAATAAGCAGGTAATTGTGTCGTATTTTTTTCTAAGTTTCATAATTTCTTTTTCAAATAATACAACGGCACTCGCTATAAAATATTTATTGAATATTTTTTTCTTCTAAATAAACTAAATTATTTCATATAATTAGCTCTAAAGAAACACCTACTTTTTACCCGACTGTGCAATGCAAGAGCGCGAAACGCGACGCGCAGACAGGGTATAGTGTTTAACAGTCTATATATGTATGTATGTTCCTTTGAGGCACACTAGAGACCAAACGCGTAGACCGATTTTGATGATTCATAAATCGATTCGTCTGAATCATGGGAGTGCTACTAAAGTAAAAAAAAACTATAGCCTACACAACAGCGCAGCAAGAGCGGGTCACAGTATACTTAGTTTAAAAAAAAGATAAAGATAAAATGATTTGTAATTAGGTTATAATATGTAATAAAGTATATGTAAGGATAATATGTATTATAACAGAAGATCGAACATGAAATAGTAATAAATATTACTTATGTAGCGGCTAAAATCGCTGTCGCTCACGCCGCCTCTTATAATTCGTGCCAGAGTCGGGAATCATACTATGCTCAGCTGACAGCGATGGCGGACAGCGCGCGCTATTCTGCTTGTATGGTGTGTACTACTCAATAGCACATACCTACACTTCAAATGAAAACTGAAAAGAAACAAACAAGTCCAGTAGTCTTTAATTCTATTGAGTAAGGAACAAAACTACTTTAACAGTCGGGACCCATTATTGAATTTTTTTATCCATTCTTGAATATCTAATGGGTCCCGACTGTTAATGTAGCTTTGTTTTATAAAACGTACAGATAAATAACATTAAATACGTTAAAGTAGGTATTTCAGTCTTTTCTAAATACCTAAGTAAAACTCCTGTTTTCTTCTCCAGACACATCCTATCCATAAATGGTTCGGCAGTGGATGCCGCCATCGCCGCCATGTTCTGCAACGGGATCCTGAACCAGCAGAGCATGGGTCTGGGCGGGGGCTTCTTCATGACCGTCTTCTTGAAGTCTGAGGAGAGAGCGTACACGGTGAACGCCCGCGAGAGGGCGCCGGCCGCTGCCACTGAAAACATGTTCCACGGAAGCAACGACAAAGCCTCTAAAGGTATTAATTGAGATGCTCATACTCAATGGTATAGGGAACCAGCAGAGCATGGGATTGAGTTAGTAAGCTTCTTCATGACCTTCTTCGTGTAGTCTGAAGAGAAGGCGTATACGGTAAACGCCCAGGAGAGGGCGCCCCCCGTTGCCACCGAGAAAATGTTCCACGGGAGAAACGAAAAAGCTTCTAAAGGTATTAAATGAGATTTACATATGGCACCTCCGGTGCGACACTGTCACTTATGCAAAAACATTTTTTTTTCAGGATGAGCGTTTAAAACTTTAACATACCTTAAATTATTTAAGATTTTTACGTGATGAAAAGCTTAAACAGCTCAGCTATTCATCTAAAAAAAATTAACAAAAAAACTTTAAATATTGTATGTTTTGGGATGTTAAAGTTTTAAACGCTTCTCCTGAAAAAATGATTTTTTTGCATAAGTGACAGTGTCGCACCCGGGGTGCGAATTTAATGCTATAGGTAATCAGCAGGGCGTGGGCTTGAGTTAGTAAGCTTCTTCCTGAAGAGAGAGCGTACACGGTGAACGCCCGGGAGAAGGCGCCGGCCGCTGTCACGGAAAACATGTTCCACGGAATCAACCACAAATACTCTAAAACCTAGGTTCCAAACCTGGGGTAAATCAGCCATACTTCGGGGGTAACAAAGAACCGAATTATTTGGTCAAATGTAAATAATACTACTAAATAAAGTATGCGCTACTTCTTGCTAGTGAGCCCGCGGGGTGCTGAGTGTGGGAAGCGGGGCGAGATTATCTCCTGATAATGACATTAGTAGAGACGAAGATGTAGCGGCCAAATTAGAATTTCTTAGACTGATGATAACATTTTAAAGTCGGGGTAAAATCTGTTTCCCTAATAGGTTACAGGGGTAGCAGTATTGGAAAGGTTAGGAAACACTGTTCTAAAGGCAGACTCCTCCTTTTCAGTGGGCACTTTGCGCAAGTGCCCGCAATCGATAGGGGGGCCTCCCTCAGATCAAATACAAAGTCCCTAGTTCCTGTCAGATCACCAAACGATAACCAATACTTATTACCAAAAAACTTATATAATTCGATGAAATCCAACCTAAATTACCGACTACATTACCAACTTACTAGCTTTTACATAAGCGAAGCTATTCTACTCTCGCCCAAAATTAGGCTATCCAACTTCAGCATGCTTAGGTTAATTTAAATATACATTTAATGGTATACTAAACACATACACATTTTAAAGAAAAATCATCAGTGTACACTCATCAGTTTGACTCGCTCCATTTCAAGTCATAAGTAATCCACATCAAAGTCATAGGGGCCCGATTATCCTAATATGCCCAGGGCCTCCAATAGGTTAAAGACGGTCCTGTCTAAAGGAGTTAAATGAGATCGTCCTACATACTTAATGGTATTAGGAACCCGCAGAGCATGGGGTTAGAAGCTTGTTCATGATCTTCTTTGTGAAGTTTCTAGATGTGACGACCTGTAATTAGCATTTTGTCGCTACTATTCATTTCTAGTTTATTAAGATAAGCTGTTGGTCTTCCATGTAAGCAAAATAAATCAGTCTGAGAAGAGAGCGTACATGGTGAACGCTGGGAGAGGCGTTAATGGTATAGGGTAAAAAGGCGTGAATGTAGAATGTATTTCAAAAATGATTACCGATTTGTTTCATCTATGTCAGTTTGAAACTTTGTAGTCTAACTGAGGTGCCCCAAACTGGTTAGGCAATAACGCCAAAATCGCCAGGCCTACTTGTACCAAAGGTCTTAAATCAAACATAAAAGCTAATCATGTTTAACTATTAGAGCCAGCACTGCATTAAGCAGGAGCACGGAGCGGGCGTCCGCTCCACGTGCACTTTTTATGTTATTTGTCATTTCATAAAACAGCGCCGAGCTTCGCGTTTTCCATATTACACAGGTTCCTTGAAGTTTTGTGATTTAATGAAATTTTGCAATCGTTATCAAAATATAATTATCATAAAGTTCCAACAAATGGTTTTCGGTTAAAAAATAATACATGAACTCGCTTTATTGGCAGCATTTCTAAGCATTTAAATATTTTATTTTAAATATTGTTATCATTAATGAAGTACATTGTTATTTGAAACAATTGTTTAATCAAATGACTGTTTTGAACAAAAGATTCGTAGGTAAGTTTTCGTACCTACTGGTAAATTGTGTGCTTAGCATTAATTGTTCAAAAATGGAACGATGAACCAAGACTGAATTTATAAATAATAAGATATACAGCTATAGTAATACCTTAAGTAAGTGGCATAAGGAAATTGAACCAAAGTAATGAGAATGGATAAAATGAAGAGCGATATCAAATTTACATACACCAATGTTGCCATACTTCATGAAGTGATTAGCCTGTGATGAAAATGATCAACATGTACATGTATAGGTATGATACAGTGAGGAATTCGATGGCGCGAGTGGTTAGCGAGTTATTATCTCGAGCTCCTCCGTGCTTCGGGAGGCACGCAAAGCCGTTGGTCCCGGCTGCATCTGCAGTCGTTAGCATCCACCAACCCGCACTGATCCCTCGTGGTGGGCCACGGCCCAGTCTACCTTTTCCATTCTTAGGGAGGGCCTGTGCCCCTGTTGTTGTGACATTAAAGTCTGATTATGATGAAAAGACTCCAGGCGCAGACCTTCCATACTCCGGGTTCATATTATGACACAATTTACATATAATTTAAACATTTAACACAGTCATTTTTAATGATTAATAAAAATATCGATCATTTTAAGACACATCACTAATTAGAGGGTCATTAAAAATAACTGTTTTTATAAAAAGTTAAAACTTCATGCAAATATTTTACGAAAATTAGAGAAGACTCCTTATATGATGTACTTCAGCGCCCTTCAAGCATTATTTGTATTTTTGTTGAACACTCTGTTTAAGTATATCATAAAGCAATACTGTAACTAATAAAGTTAGCATTCCCAGTCGATGAGAGAAGGCGCGTTCACTTACTTGTCTTGTGAATTTCTCCAAAGCTTTCACTTAAATCTGGTTCAGCAAATACTAAGAGACTTTTACAATGTATTGTGTTGGTATCAGTCATCTTAATCCCGTGTCATTAATAACAACAAATAAAGTAGTAGGTATTACGTAGACAGCTAATTCTACAATATACAATTTATATTTTTAACTAAGGGCATCACAATAATTGTATAAATGAATGAAATTGAAAATCAATGTTTTATTTGAATGTGTAAGTATCTAGCATAAAAATATCATAAATATCTGTATTTTTGTCGCCATTGTCCTACTTTTTTTTTTATTATGTATTTAGTTACTTTAGCTAGAGAACATTCTCCGTAATGTGATTCTGACCAATGTATAAACTGATGATGATGCCGGAATGGTTCTGTTACTGCAGGTGGACTTGCAGTAGGCGTGCCCGGAGAACTGAGGGGCATGTGGGCAGCTCACCAGCGCTGGGGCAAACTCCCGTGGAAGCGGCTGGTTAGCCCCACTCTGGAGTTTTGCAAGTACGGCTTCCCGATCTCCAAAGTGCTCTACGACGGCTTAGAAGCGGCTCCATACATTAAAAACGACCCATTATTAAGGTACGCCAATTACAAATAGGGATGATGATTAATTGTACTTGTAACATTTTATGTCCCGCCATATCGCACAAATTACACAAAAAACTCTTATTTGAGGCGATCACTTAATTTTTATAAACATAAAACCTGCATATATAAAACCTGACCAATATTGACATTTTTTCAAGTACTTATAATAATTGCAGAAAACTGGTTCGCGAGATGTTGTACTAGTAGATTGTAAAGATTTTGAAACATTTTGTAAACAGTAACTAAGAAGTTTCTCATAGACTCAATTTGTTTAAACATAATATTAATTTAAGTTATGGTACTATAGGTCTAGTCATACATTATTTAATTTAAGCAAATATTACTGTTAGAGACCGTTTGTTACCTAAATCAATAAAATAAAAATAAAATGAAAAAAATGTATTTTCTTAGTCTACTTTGATTATCATAAAGTATTAGAGACGTAGGTATTTATTCTTTTTTCGCTTAATCAGAACAGGTCAGAGATATTAAGTGAAATGTCGCATGACGTCACATCTTGATACAATTTTTACTTAGAAGTCACGTCACAAGCTCCCCTCTTAAACTTTTTCGCGAGTTTTATCTTTGTAATTTTTTGGTTGAGTGACAAAAGTTCATATTTTTGATAAAATAACTGACCAACAAATAGATTTGCGTTGAATTTACCCCGCATCATCCCTATTATGAAGGTAATTTAAGGCTAGGATATAAAATAACTTACTTAAATAAATATATTTTGATGTAACTCCAGTCCAGTTTCTTAATAGTATAGTGGCTACTAAATATGGACTTTATCCGAATCATTCATCAATAGTGTCTCTTGAATCAATTTATGTGTTTTCAAAATAAACAAAAATGTACCAACCTAGGTACCTATAGGTACCTATACTAGTACCTATACTTAAGGAAATATCCAATTTAATATATTCGCGCAAACAACTGACAAATTTAACAAGGACTTCCTCCTTTATATATTTGGGCAGTGTAAGGAAAATAATACAGTTTCCTGAACATTGTCAAGCTCGTTGTCAATAATATAAGCATAGCAATATACAATTATATACTTAAGCCTGATCTTCAGCAAAAGTTTTTAGAAAACATTCATCAAAGACACATACACAAAACTTTGTTTCTGAATCATGTTTTTCACACCTTCAATCAACAATACTTGTTGATCGAAGCTCTACACACATCTTCTGCTCACGTGGCTGTCGTACACAGAATACGCAGGTCTGCGATCCAAACAAATGGTCCAGATGCAACAAATGTCAAAAATGACAAAAGTTACATACTTACTTTTATATCAAAATTGAAACCTCAGTGAAAAGTTGCACTCGAAGCGTAGGTTTGGAACATAGCCCCCGCTAGCGAGTTGTCAAAAAAGGCCGATGAAACAATACCCTGCCCCTCGACTCGCGCGGGGGTGATTTGTGTACGTGTTTTCCATCAGGCTCGGAATAACCTAGATACACCACGTACGCTCAAAATGTGTCCCAATCAAGAAGAACTCTATTCAAGCACTTCTTGGTTCAAAGTCACGCGCGAACCGTTGAAAGGTCAAGATGCAGCAGAGCTCCGTGAAAAATGCGAAAAAAATACTTATAGTACGTAAAGTGCCGTTTTTTCGACAGGTATCTAATCAATTTTTGTTAATTTAACGCATTTGAAGCAAATTTTGGTCTAATACTTACTATAAACTAATTAAATAGAAAACATTTGTGATATTCAAATGCAAGGTCGGCTATATAGGCATCTCTTTTCCTCGCTGTCCGTTCCTGCTTTATTACTAACATAGCGCATTTAGAATTGCGCGTAGAGTCAAAGAAATAAGGTCTTTATCCATCCGCATATAGCAATAAGTCATAAAATTTACGAGCTTGCATTGCTATATGTCATAACTCTTTTACGTCTGCGTTTTAATTAAGACCTTATGCAGTATGCAATAACGGTGACGTTCAATGTTTAAATAATGCCTTATATTGTTTTTGACAACGCCTACATAGCTCTGTGGATGGTTCAATGTACCTTTTGGACAGGTTTCGGCCACGATTTTGTTCGTGGTGGTGTAGCTAGGGTATTTAATATCGTTGGCTCGGAATGCAAAAACATAGCTCATGCAAACAAACATGTGTAGTGAAACAAAGTTTTGTGGAGACGATTTTGTTGAATGTTGATATATTTTTGTTGATTGTGTAGGGCAAAACACGAGCTGGCTTTATATACACAATACTTAAGGCAAGCTCTTGAACCAAAATAAATTGGTTCTCTTAACTCTTAATCGGTGACCGTAAAGAGGTTATAAAATCATCACCATCTATTGTTTCCCCTATCATTATAATTTTTAAGGGCGGCAACATTGACTTCAATGTCAAACAACTTTAGGGCCCGCCTGATGGTAAGCGGCCGCCACAGCCTATAGACACTTGCAACACCAAAAGCATCACTTACGCCCTTGCCTACAACAACACTGATAGTGTACTTAAATGCAATTAAAATTAGAACGAAATACCTGGTGCACTAGCCACCTTACCTTGCTGTTTTCAACCCCTTTCTCCACCATGGCAATGGGACTATGGACATCAGAATTATAACCTTACTCACTGCATGTAACTAAGCATAACCACAGACAAGTAAACTTCAGTAGACGATTTGTATGTAAAATTGCTACTCTGCAGGTTTTCTGCTCTATGGTAGTTGCTCAAGAAGATTGCCGGGGTGTATAGAAAATGTTTGTTGCACAAAGAACATCGACGAAATCGGCCCTAGCATGCCCAAAAGAATGTCCTTCACTATTATTTTTCTATTATTTTTTTAACTTATTAGCAATTAATCATAGTAAACGGACAATCTGTTTAAAGAAATGAAAAATTAAAGTTTTGTTAGTAGATAGATACTACAATCTGTTCATTCAACTTGTCCTATTTGGTAAACAATCTTGGCATTCCTTTTTATTGAAAATACAGCATTAAAAATCAACTGATAACTGGATTCAATAGGTTTTAGTCTATAATAACGATTTATTTTAATAGTTTATTGACTTCGTTAATATTTTATTATTAAATGGGTGATTCTGTTAAAAAGTTGTGCCAAGATTGTTTACCTTTATAAATACAAAATGGGCGACCATATAGGTATTTATCAACATTAAAATAGAACAAGGTACCTTAGTTAAATATACTTATTACTAGTATTTATATTATATTTATAAAAAAGATTATTTCTGAAATTATGTAAAGATAGTTTATATTCCCATCCCATGTAATATCTGTTTATTTTTATGAAAAACATAATGATAACCAGGTACATACCTAATTACCGATAGTAAAATATAGAAACAGGTAAATGGAAAGACTGAACATTTCATTTGAAAGGAAATCTATTATTACTACAGATAGGTATAGGTATCATAGGTGCCAACTGCCAACACTCATAAATCAATATGAATATAAGCATTTATTATTTTTATTATTAATTGCATTTTATGTTCATTTAAGGCATATTATTTAAGTGCTTACATAGAGGTAAACACTAAATCTATTCAGAATATATAAAGTGTACATCTTTTACGATTAAGTATATTAATTATAACCTCCAAATCTAATACATTCTCTAGTAGGCTACGGTTCCTCAAGTTGTCCGTATCTCAACAAATGCCTAATTAGAGTTTATGAATGATTCCGAACACAGCTAGCATTTTCTCATTGCTGGGCGTTCTAGGGCATTCAATGTATGAGGAACGAGCAATGTCCTTCAACGATGACTATGCCTAGCTAAGTAATAGTACATTGTTCACCGAGGCGAGAAAGTGACCGATTACCAACGAGGGCGAAGTTTGATACACTCCATCCCTAGAAGGCCTCTAAGGCTTTTGTTAATACACCCGAATTGGCGATAGCACTTTCTTACGAGGCATACATAGTGCTTTATACTATAACTACGAGGAAATAAAAGACAAATTCTTTTTTCTAGTTATATTTTCTTTAGATGCAAACATCATGCAGTTACATGTTTAAAATATTAAAATTATAACAATTAAATTCTTTAATTGTAATATACCTACTTACCTATATTAAAGTTGTTACAGTTACTAAACTTTTGCCTGGGAGCTTTATATTGCTTTCTTGATTTTACGGGTTCTAGGTTTTCAATGAATGTCTAGGTAATTTCTTTTTCTGACGGTACAATAAATCTTCATAATCAGTAATAAAGTCCACTCCGAATAGTTAGAAACACAAATTAAAAAATCAATTAAAATAAAATAATCAGAGCCTTTTACTTTTATTCTATTTTCAAAATTAATGTTTAAAAAGCAAATAAAAATAAATCGCATTTTGCAAAATCATACTAATTACTTGCATTTTCGGAATATAAATTAAAAAAATTACTGCACGTTAACATTGAATTTCTATCTAGACTTTTCTGCCAGCTCAGCGCTTTAAAAAATAATTTCCATACACTTTTCCAGCCCGCTTAGTAGAACAACAGTAATAAGGTCCTTTCTGCTTTATTTTTAAACCAAGAATAAAGCACTTTCCGAGCAGGTATAAAAATATCTTCTATACGTTTGCAGTAAAGTCTTCACAACGAAGGGAGCATTTCACACTCCTGGTACTATAGTGAAACCACCAGAGGCCTTCTGTAACACTCTCCAGGTCATCGCAGAGAAGGGTGGCGACGAGCTATACAACGGCAGCCTGGCCACGACCCTCGCGGACGACTTTCATACGGCTGGCAGCATCATCACTTTAGAAGACCTAAGGAACTATGAGTAAGCACAAAAGTTAATTAGAAAGAAAGTAATTTATTAGCCGTATCAATACTATTTCTATTTTTTTTTTTATTAATATGTTATTACATATTGAATGTACCAAAAAAGCGTGTGCGTCTCGGGACACACAACATTATATGATAACTTAAACTAATCTAAGCCGCCCTGCGGGTTAGAGTGGGAGAGGAGGAGCCTGCCTACCGCTGCCGTATGTGAGAGGAAGGGAAGCCAGAGAGACTGGCGACGTAACGCGTTCCGTAACGAAGCGGTTTAACCCCCCATAAGAAATTATCACTTCAAAAAAAGAAATTTAAATAAGGCCAACTAGGTCCCTGCCTCAGCATAATGCAATAATGTGATTTTTCGACGTGTTTGCTTCATCGATCGATTAAATATTCTACTATGACACGAAACGCTTCGCTTATAATTCCGTCTCGCAACTGGCTAGGTTTTCCACTTAAATAATGTATTTTTTTCACACTCTCTGGACTTTACTTTGAATGAAATGTCGTTTGATCATCTTTAAAATTGTATTTACAAAAGGACATCATCCATTTTGGTCCAACATCAAAAGTGCCCCCAAAAAAAAGTGCTGTATTCTGATAGACCACGTCGGCCTTTGCATTTGTTTATATGGCACCAAAGCTGTAGCACCACCACACTATTAGAGGTGCTATAAGCTTTGGTGCCATTTTACGAAATGATGATGAAATGTCACATTTCTTTAACATTAATACCTATTTAACTGACATTTCATGTATTTTTTCAATCAAATGAATTCACTAAAGTAATGAGTTAACATATTATTTTCGATTAAATGTATGATAAACCATAAATAAAATGTTCTGTCATGGTAGCATCCATTTATGATAGGGGAGTTGTAATAAAATAAGTATCGTTTTTTTTATATGTTTAATGCAATATATTATTATTAAACAATGTTATCATATCATCTGGCATTACAATGACATTCTCCAATCCTAAAGCTGGTGGGGCTATATTTTGAAAATGTCGAGCATAGCTCATATACACAAACAATCAACGAAACACTAGTAATTTTGTCAAAGTTTGATTTTGTCAGAATATGCAAATAAGATTACAGTGGACGATTTCTAGATTAATTTATTGTTAATATGCTAAATAGAGGTGAAAGTTTGCAATATTGCATCAGTTTAACGCAATCAGTAACTTGTAAATCTGAACTTTAAAAGGGTTAATATTGAGGTCATTGCGACTACTTATTATGAAACCTTATAAAAAGTCCAGTACTATATATATGTAAGTACAACCAAAATACATAAGCTATTAACGGGATTGTTACCATGTACCTTGTTTTTATGAGTCTCCGATATTTATGTAACTTAACAAGGTACATACATGGTTACAATCCCGTTAATATCTATAATGTTAGTGACCATGAAAGTTTAAAACAATATAAAATACATAATATACCATGGCCCTTCTCTTTGCTTTTCTAAAGTCGCTCCCTCCCTCTGTAAATTATAATATAAAAATGTAAATAGTTTCAGCGCCCCACGCTTTTACAGTCAAATTTAATTATAATTAAAAGCACATTATTTACACTTCAGCCCAGAAATAGAGACAACTTGAACGAGCCATAATTTATTTTCGGTTTTTACGTGCATTTATAAAAGCATGTTTTTCTAGTTTTTTTAAACTATTAACTTATTCTATTCCTTTTAGTCTTTTAACAAGAAATACTTGGTGTTCCTTCATATCTTCCGGCTCCATCATCAGATCAGATCGACAGTACCATTATTGTATTGTCATCAGAACTACATACAGCTGCCAATTTTCATTACGCTAGATACCTTGAAAGATGGAAAGAAAGACCTTAGATTCCATTACATAGTTAGTTACATACAGGTCGACCTAATAAAAGCGTGTTAAAAAAACAGAATACATGAAGACGAATGTAACGAGCCCAAACTCGATATGTTTACTAGTAGGCAATGCAGGATCCATCAGCCACCTTCCAATCCATCCTCAAGTCCTCGTCATCAAGAGAAATGAATAGAATAGCGAATCTAATGAGCCCAAATTCGATATGTTTAGTAGTAGTAGGCAGTCCAAAGTTCCATCAGCCACCTTCCAGTCCCATCATCAGACCAGCTCGATGGTGCCGTTATATTGTATAATCATTCTACATATAATTGCAAAGTTTTATTATGTTAGGACGAATCTCATGAGCCCAAACTCGATTTGTTTACTAGTAGGCAATTCAGCGTCCATCAGCCACCATCGTCCATCGTCACGTCCTCAGTAGAAATAAACAGAATATGTTAAAGCAAATCTAATGACCCCAAACTCGATATGTTTACTAGTAGGCAGTTCAAGGTTGCATAAGGCCACCTTCCAGTCCCATCATGAGACCAGCTCGATGTTACCATAATATTGTATTGTCATCTAATCTACATATAATTGCCAAGTTTCATGATTTCTTGTATCAACAAGAATCAGAAATGCGTGTAATTCAGATTCTTAGATTTCATTACAAAGTTTATACAAGTGGACGTAATAAAAGCATGTTAAAAATCCGATTGTTCACCTACCTCGTTTACCTAATAATACTATTTTACGAATATTTTGAGTAATGCCAATTTTCCATTTAATCGACGTTGATGTCAAGTCTTGATATCATGAAGTATTATAATAACCGGATCTCTACCCTCGGCCTAATGCAAATTATACAAGAATATTTGCCAGATTAATTACTATAAACTAGTGTGCCCCAAAGGAACATATATACATAATATATAGTGTGTTAAACACTGTACCCTGTCTACGCGTCGCGCTTAGCGCTCTTGCTTTGCGCAGCCGGGTAAAAAAAGAATTTGTTTACTCAGTAACAAATATATTATTGTTGTGCCTACTCACATTAAGTTACCTTATTCGAATCTCTATTCGATAACAGAAACAGCCACGCAGATATAAAAAAAACCTAAGAGTAGCCATGAAAATTATTCTCATAAGTTTATTTTGGGTGAAATGTTACGGTATAAGTACAACAATGTTTGAAGAAATATCCTTTGCGGGAGATCATGAAACTGACAGCAGAATATAGACTGGACTCATATATTTTTATACGTTAGTTAGTAATGTAGTTATATAAATGATACTTTAATAATATACTGTACGCTTGAAAGATGCTTATGACGTAATGAGAAAATTCGTTGGGATTCCTCCCGCCTAGCTACAAAGCGAAATAATAATATAATGTAATCCCATTTAAACACAAAAATGGTGTAGTTTTTTGGAACCCACAAAGGAAGTGCAATTTTTAAATCTTAATAATAAAAATGTCCACTCTCGGCTGGGAATCGAAGTCGGGCCCCCCGCGTAGCAGTTGATTAGATTTTAATTTTTAACAATAATTAAAAATGTAATGCGACATGCTCAAGAATGAACGAAAAAATGTGTGGCGATCTAGTTAAGTTTCACTTTAAAATAAAAATAATTTTCTGAATCGGTCCAGTCCCTGTAGCATGAGCAGCACGATACACATTATATCGCGTCTAACTGTCATACGCGTGATAAAAACGCTTTATAAATCATATCGCGGTGCTCATGCTAGGGGGCAGGTGTTATAGGGAAAAACAACATAAAAAAGATTCCCGTAAATTGAGCAGAAGTTGGTTAAAAAGTACAAAACCATCAGTTTTAAAAAAATCTTGAGACACAAAAATATACTTCCTTACATAGACATTCAAAAGGGGACGGAAATGTACGTATGAAAGAAAAAACCTCCGATTTCAGTTCATCATGAAATACCCGAGTACCTTCTTAAGTAGGTACTACCCAAGTATTCGTTATGGGTAATAATGACACACCCTCCGTAGAAATTCCGCGATAACCTTATCGATTACTGCTTACTATTATTGGTCCATGCTTTTAGTCAGAAAATCGTGATTATTGTTTTCAGTTACAAAGCCGTTTCACAATGTTACGTATCGCCGTTGTTAACGCTAAAGATTCATAATACGTCTGTTTCAGAAAAAGCGTCTTTAACATGAATCAGTAAAGCTCTATTTTGCCTTTTAGCATCAAATGACTTCTGACATTTCAAGGTTTGATGGGAAAAAGAAGAAAAATATTTAATCACCTGCACATTAGTCTCGTATAAGAAACAATGAGAAATATAATAATGAGTCATACGTAATTCATTGCTATTATCATTCGATGTAGGTATGTTTATGGTCTTTGTTAAACATATAGAATTATGGAACATTCATCAATAAAATATGCTATACAGTCTACATAATCTGACTACCGTTAAATATGTTGTAACCTTTGTTTTGGTTTACATCAGCCAAGTATGAATTGGATATGAGAATGTACTCGTAAATACATAGGTACTTGATGATGACTCATAATCAAGTAACAAGTACTTACACTTACATGAATAATAAATCAAAGTGGATCTGCCTTTTTCACTTTCCAGAGCCGAGATACAAGAACCTATATCGTTCTCACTGACCAACGGGGACACATTGTACGCCCCGCCGCCGCCCAGCAGCGGTGTCATCCTAGGTTACATCCTGAACATACTCCAAGGGTACAACTTCACTGCGAGTAGCATCAACACGACCGATGACAAGATTCTCACCTATCATAGGATAATAGAAGCGTTCAAGTTCGCCTACGCGACCAGAACTAAGCTGGGCGACATGAACTTTTTGAATTTGGAAGAGGTGATTTTTTTACAGTCCCAAGTAATTAAGCACTGTAATGCCTGTGTTGTAAGATATAGGTACATCCTGGCAAACTTCTTGAGTAGCAAATACATTTTAAGACACAAAAACGTCTACTGCCTATGTTTATTTGTGTGCGGTTTTGCTCAAGAACTTTACCGCTACCTATATCTTCTCTAAAGCAAGCCACACGCGCTAGATTATACCTGACAGATTTACCTGTACGGTTCTACTGCACAGGTAAACTTGAGTTTAGTAGAGACCATACACGTTGCGGTAAACCTGCACAAACGTTCAGTTGAAATCATGACGCCGGGCGCGGCGCTTGAATTCAACACAGAAGCATTTTTAGGATATATTGTTTATTTTATGAAAAAAATTAATTTAAACGAATACACCGTGAACAAGCATGGTTACTGCAAAGAAAACAGTACTCTCATGTTAAGTTACTGAATCAATTGAAATTTAAGCCAACACATTACCCCAATTTATCTACGAAAGGATGAATATACGTATAACAGCAGGGACTCCCCTAATTTAGAAGCAGGATACAATGATGACAAAAGCTATATCGCCTCATCTAAGATTGGCAGTGACGTAAGATACCTTAATACCTTGCAACAGGGAGAACATTTTATGCGCCAAAGACAATACTCCGATATATAGATTTCTTTAACTCCTCCAGGACCTAGTTCCGTTTACGAGACGACATTTTGTATTTATACAATAGAGCGCCGCGCGTCCATCCTCTCTAACAATCACCGGACAACTGACGCCTACGCAGGCGACTGCCACACACGTCATTTTACCTGTACAGTTAAACTGCACAGGTAGAAAATATCAAAATTCATATTTTTTCGAGTAGCCTGTACAGGCGTGGAAACCTGCGCAGTTATGTGACATACACGCTCCCGTTTACCTGTGCAGGTAAACCTGTTAGGTTAACCCTACCGTGTATGGCTTGCATTTAGAATTTTATATATTAATATAAAATTCTCGTGTCACGGTGTGCTTAATTGAATTACTCCGGAACGGATCAACCGATTTACATGAAATTTTATATGCATATTCAGTAGGTCTGAGACTCGGACAACATCTATTTTTCATCACCCTAAATGTTAAGGGTCCACCCTTAATTTTTTTTTGGGAAAAATTTTCATGTTTTTATTTTTTTATGATACATTTATATACATCATACAAAAATACATACAACCCTAAATTTTCACCCTTCTACCACCAACCCCTATTTTTTAAGTTCGCTGGGACAGCTAGTTATAATATAGGAAAGAAACAAATATAATGATGCAAAGATGGAAAGTAACGATAAAGAGCCATGACTCTGGAACAAATGCTTATACTTATCATGCAAATATTTGCCCTACCGAAGTTCGAATCCAAGGATCTCAGCGTAGACGGTACCTTGCAAAACCCGTGCATAGACCATTAAACCACGGAAGACGCCAAATCGATTTTGATTTTGCCTGATAACAGGGCCGGATTTGAGGTAGCTCAGGCAGCGCTACTACTACGTCCCTCTGGGCATCCACAAGAGAGGGGGCCCCACAACAGAGATAAAAATTACCAAATTTTGACGGGTCACCAACCAGGAGGGGAGATGCTCCCTCATTAAGGGCCTCCACACCTCTAAATCTGACCCTATATTGTATATTTACAATGTTAGAGTATAGAATCAAACTGCTTCGGGCACCCTTAACTATCTATATAGCGTTATTTGGCAACAGCATTTTTAACTGATTCCTTAGCGGAACATTCTTCCTTGCCACACAGCTTTAAGCACTGCGTAGATATTTTATTTAATAAAAATATTATGCACTTGTCAATTAACATCTGTTTAAATAACGCGAGAAAATTATGTATAGTTTTTGTAAAGTAAGACTTACTTTAAAGTCAAACAACGTTTAACATATTAATACCATAAATAACATTTAACAGAACAAGTAAAAAATTTGGTCAATATTTTTAACGAATGTTTCCTTAACGAAAATGTACATATTAGGTCTTTACCTAATTAAATTACCGTTTTCCTTGAAATAAGTTGACGCCCCTTTTTCTATATTTTTTATTTTATTAATTAAAATAATTACCCATGCAATCAATGCATTTTTGCCAACGTAGTAGTTGATGCCATTTAAAAGTCTGCTGGACGGGAGGCAACAAATTCTTCAAACAAAGGCAATTTGAACTGCCTCTCGGATATTGAATTTTTTCCCCGCTAAGAAGTTATACAACTTCTGGAAAAAGTAGAAGTATGTAGGGACGAGTTCTGGTGAGTTCGGTAGATACATAATTAGTTACTTACTTACAAGAATAGAAAAAATAACCAATACTGGATCTTAACGCTTATGTTAGTATAAGGTGATACAAATACTAATATTCCAACTAGGTAGTCAAAACTACCTAGGTACCTATATTTATACCTAGGCAGGTTCCATGTAAAACTAAACAGTCCTTGACTTAGTCATGGTTACAGAGCCTAGAGTGATGAAACTTATAACCGGCCCTTACTCTTCATACCCCAGCTAATGCGCAACGTCAGCAGTCCCAGCTACGCCGAAGCCACCCGGCTAAAGATTGACGACGCACGAACCAGTAACGACTCACGGGTGTACGGCGCACAACAATACAACCAGCCTGACTCCGGCACCGCGCACATATCCATCATAGCTCCCAACGGTGACGCTGTATCCGTCACCAGCTCCGTCAATTACTAGTAAGTTAAAAGCCGCTTTAGCAAACCTAGCTAAGTACCCCAAACCTGCACAGATGAATATGGAAGACCCACCCAACGGCGACGCTGTTTCCGTCACCAGCTCCGTCAATTACTAGTGAATAATAAGCTACTTCAGCAATCCTAGCTCAGTACCCCAAACCTGCGCAGACAAATATGAAAGGCACCGCACACATATCCATCATAGCACCCAACGGTGACGCTGTTTCCGTCACCAGCTCCGTCAATTACTAGTGAGTAATAAGCTACTTCAGCAATCCTAGCTAAGTACACCAAACCTGCGCAGACGAATATGGAAGACGGGCTAATACCAGCACAATTCCTGACTCCGGCAGCGCGCCTATATCCATCATAGCACCCAACGGCGACGCTGTATCCGTGACCAGCTTCATCAATTACTAGTGAGTAATAAGCGACGTCAGCAATCCTAGTTACGCCAAACCTGCGCAAATGAATATGAAAGGCACCGCGCACATATCCATCATAGCACCTAACGGCGACGCTGTTTCCGTCATCAGCTCCGTCAATTACTTGTGAGTAATAAGCTACTTCAGCAATCCTAGCTCAGTACACCAAACCTGCGCAGACAAATATAAAAGGCACCGGGCACGTATCCATCAAAGCACCCACGGCGACGCTGCATTCGTCACCAGCTCCGTCAATTACTAGTGAGTAATAAGCCACGTCAGCAATCCTAGCTACACCAAAGCTACGCTACGTGGGTGAAGATCTAGCTACAAATCACTGGTCAAATACTAACATGTACCTACTTTATAATAATAACAACTCATTCAGGATACTGTTGACTGTCGTGGAGTTGCAGCACGTCGAAAATGTATGCGCCTCCGCATACGGACTGACAACATCTACGCTAACATTAAGTAAGAGGTCCGCTTCCTTGCTCTCTAGGCTCCGCCCTAGTACTGTTTCTTGAGGATGTTTAATAACAGGTGGAACACTCTGCTACGACACTATGGAACCTAGTTCTGTAATAAATTATTTCTTGACTACATATCCATATCTATCTATTCTGCATATCCAATAAAGCGCCGAACAAGGAAGCTGTCTCGATCGCCAGCTTTTTTTATAGCCATGTAGGCAAATAACTCTACTCTAAGATAAAGTCCAAACGCAAAGATACCTGGTATAGCAGTTATAAACTGCCACAACAACCATCCTCACCTTGTCGGCCTACACAAATGTTTCTTTACGCCTCTCTAGCTTCTTTAATTGTTAGGTCCTACTTTGTTATTTATTTATTAAGGTCTCATTAAAATTATTTGATAATACTAGCTACAAAGTAGTAGTTAATAACAAAGTAATATTTCTATTATGCCATTCTAAAGGTTATCGATAGCAACTACTATCTTGCAATTGCGTAGGTAGGTTGTTTTATTATCATACCAATCCAATAATTCCTTCAGACATCTACAGTTTTGACCTTTCGCTCTTCACCGAGTTTGGCTAGTTCTCATATGTTATTGATAAACAAAAAAACATATGAGTATCTATTTATTATATTATTAATTCCCTTTACGTCAGATGTACCATCTTTAATAGTCCTACTGACGCACTATTACGTCACTAGTTCCATTAAAAAATACAATATATTCCCTCCATAATCCCCAGGACCTAGTGATGACTTTACCATTGCAGAAACATGTCACTGTAATGGTGTATTATAGACTTGGCGAAAAAATACGAATCTAAAATAGTTAGTAAGATTGTATATTATATAAATTTTTCAAAATGGACACGTTTATTATCCAAGACGATTCCAGCACTTCACATAGCTATTCCTATATGCTATTTATAAATACAACCATCTCTCGTCTTCATTCACCATCCTTAGAGCATGATAAGGAATATCTTAAAAACAACCAGAGAAAATGTGGTTAAGCTATGAAAGACAAGTAACTTTCTTATGTTTCACATTCTAAGTATGTCCTACGATGATACAGAGATGTTGATGTCCATTACAAAATAAATGGTACCTTATCTTAGAGTGTATTTTAATTTATGGTTTATTACAATGCTCGCATTAGTTAATTATTGTTTTGAATTTATATTACAAAATATAGTTTTAATTATTGTATAAATTTAGTTGTAGAAGACTTTTGCCTGAAACACAGGTTTACCTAGTTCAGACTATAGTATAAGTTCCATATCTTTTGTTATGTCTAGAATTAAGTAATTTATTGTAAACTGAAATTCAATCAACATTTATTATTATTATTTATTATTCGTTTTTGGGATACTTTAGCACTAGACATGCCGTGAAGTTCTATAGATCATCATAATTATTTACTTACCTATCGATATTACGAAATTTTATGAAAACATCAATACATGTAGGAAGCTATAGCCAAATCATCAAATGCCCGCCATTTTTTCCCTAGCTTCGGCGCCGGCTTCACGACCCTCAACACCGGCATCATAATGAACAACGTCATGGACGACTTTTCGTCGGCCGGGTTCGCAAACTACTTCGGACTGCAGCCATCGCCGGCCAACTTCATAGCGCCGGGCAAGCGGCCACTGTCCTCCATGAGCCCCAGCGTTCTGGTGGACAGGAATGGCAACGCCAAAATGGTGATTGGCGCGTCTGGTGGCACCAAGATCACAACTGCTGTTGCTTTGGTGAGTTTTCAAAAACAATCAGACTTTCTCTTGTAATCAGTTTTCACTAGTGTAATGAAATATATTGCTGGGAAATAATTTTACGATTCCAACCAGAGGCTACGTGTGGTACGACCAAGTGTGAAAACGGAAGCTGAAAAGGGGGGACAGAAGAAAGTAGTTGTGACCCCCCCCCCCTTGTTATTATGACGTCACATAGTTTGCATCTAGCCATTATTAAATTAAAACAGCAGTTCCTAAAACAAGACAACAAAAAAATTTAAACTGATACAAATAGGAGTTGTAAATATTTAAAAGCTTTTTATGATAGTTCAAAAGTAATGAAATGTGACATCACAAAATTCCCCCTCCGACCCCTCCCACTCCTCACAATGTCACACTTCGTCGATCCCCTCCGTCCCCCTTAACGTGTGATGTACTTTATGGATAACCCATAATATGGGAACATAGCACACCACAACATAATTCAAATTGGTAGGTAGTTCACACTTACGGTGCTGATTAGTGTGCGCTGTAGAAAATTTTGTACAAACACTAAGCGCCTCGATTTGAGTTGATACAGTTCCGCGCTGATATGTGAGCGACAACATTTAATCCATAGGTAGGTATACGAGCCGGGTCGAATTAAAGAAGATAAGTTGTGTCAACAAAACAATGATAGGTACCTACTCTTTTGTTATTATGACACAAATACAGTTAATTTAAATCAATCGGCGTCACCAAATTATAATAATTGCTATTTAGTGCAATAATAATAAGTAGGTAGTTGTAACCAAACTATTGACAGGTGGGATAAAAATAAAGAAACTAACTATTAAACTTATAGGATGCGCGCCTCCGTGCATCACGTATATTTGCGAAAAAATGATTGAGGGACATAGAGAAATAAAAATACTAAAAATGATATATTCGTATATTATGTACGGATTTTGTAATTGGTATTGTTAGTGTGGATCGTCAACAGCATAAAATATTCTCCCTATTACTGGGGTAGTAGTTGAGCAGGTGGCTACACTTTTTTGTCATACGACACCGTCCTTGCAAATTGATATGCACACACCACAAAAATAAGTTGCCGAAATGTTGTTTTTTTTTTTGATAGCGCGGTATCTAGTGGAGTGAAGCGACACCAATCGTTTATCTATGCGATACAACTTTAAAAATTAACAGCACTTCAGATTTTGTACAAAGTTTCTACAATCGATTTCTAAATATAGGTAAATAGGTAATTTGACATTTGTTTTCAAATAGGTACTTCCAAGAAGTTAGCGGTCCACTACTTTTGACGATTGCACTCGAGACCAATCATGATAATGGGAATAAATAAAATAAGTTTATTTTTACTACTTCTTACCTACTCCTGCTACTTATGTACGCCAGAAGACTTATGGCAGAACTACACTTATCTGTCGTGTCGTGTTGTGGCGCATCAGAGAGCTATCTGTTTCATACATTTAGTATAGTTAGACTGAAAACGGTGCAACCCATCGCGACACACAAATATACTTCTAACCGTACTTAATATATGAAACTGATCGCGTTACAACACAACACGGCAGTTAAGTATATTTATGCCTTTAGTTTAAATCTATTCTGCCTCTGTCGTCGATTTAGGAAACAAAGGAGACAACATCATTTGTATATCCGGTTTAAACTTTAGTCTACGTGTTGTTATACCTATATAATGGTTTAACTTTATATAAATACCATTGAGTCATTGATCTGCGATCGTGGAAATAAAGCAATGGCCAGTCATTGAATGGGTGATCAAAAAAAGCTTAATATTTGGAGCACCTCCGTGTTTCGGAATGGCCAGTCATTGAATGGGTGATGAAAAAAGGCTTAATATCTCGAGCTCCTCCGTGTTTCGGAAGGGACGTTAAGTCGTTGGTCCCTGCGGCTTCTGTAGTCGTTGGCATCCACCAATGTGTTCCAGCAGTGAAGACCATTTTTTTTTTGTTGTCTTCGAGGGCAGACGCGCAGGCAGGCCACCTGGTATTAAGTGGTCACCCTCGCCCATGGACATCAGCAATGCCAGTGACGCAGCCATGCCGCTGCATTTCGTGGAACACTCATTGAGGGATCACCGTGGAAGAGAGCTCATTCCATAATTTCATTGTACGTTTTATTAATAATGTGACTTATCTGTTCCAGGTGATGATGCGCAAGATTTGGTTCGAGCAAACGATAAAGGAGGCGGTTGACGAAGCGCGGTTCCATCACCAAATATTTCCCATGACGGTCGAATACGAATATGGAGTGCTTGCGGTAAGATTTCATTTATCAATCCATACTATAAATATAAACTCGAACGTAGGCATCTATCTATCTGTTACACTTTTAAACCGCCTAAGGGAACATACCCATACTAAGTTATGTACCCATACGACCCGTTTAGGGGTTGCGAGTGGCAGGGGGGTTCTTCAAAATCCCCGCTTGGTCACAATGGAGCAGGGGTATTTGGTTTTCGTCACGTAGTCTAATAATATCCTCTAGGGAAATTTTCCTCTTGATAATATTTTCTGACTTGTATAATAGGTTTGCAAGGCTCTTGGCGTCACGCGGCAAGCGCCATATCAATAAAGACAAATATGAGTAAAATTCACTAGTTTTTTACTTTCTGTGTGCAAAAAAATTTATTTATGATTTAGTACCTGAAAACTAAAGTGGGGGGGGGGGGGGGGTCTTGGGCATAATCAACGGGTGGTCACCCAGGAGGGGCGGTATATAAAAAAGTGGGTCACGTAGCAAGGGGCGTCCATAAATTACGTGAGGTGTTTTTTTGGATTTTCTGTCCCTCCCTCCCCCCTGGTGAGATGTCGTGAGATTTTATTCAACCCCCTCCCCCTTCCCCCAATCTCACGTGAGATTTTTCAAAATGTGGGTTTCTTTCGTAAACGCGTTGGATTGTTGTTGTAAAAAGAAAAAAAAATGCTTCGTGCTTTTATTTACGACTAGTTAAGACTAGTAATCAATATTGCTGAGAGTTATAAGTGTAATACAAAGGACAATGTTAAAATTGGCCTAAGAACCAACACCAATTTGGCATTTATGATAATTCTTAGTAGATTTTTTGCGATAATTATCAGTATTTAGATTGTGACGGACACTTCCAGTTAAGTAAGCTAAATTAAAAAGTTAAAAAATAATCTGAGACAATAAATACCATTTTATATGTTTTATCTATGGCAGCGCTGCAAACGAAACACTACTTCTTCCTAATGCCGGCACTCCACTTGGCTAAGTTTAACAATTACCGAACATAATGCGACTCAGTGGCGCACAATGCCGAATTATGCTGATGCTTAATTGGAACGTGAATTAGTTTTCAAATGCACCAGCACAGTGCGCTAAGTCAATGTTTGTACCTTCATCCATACATATATTTGAATTGGCCTTGATTATTTTAAAAAAACTACAATGAAACGAAAGCTTTAAAAAATTTCAACAAAACTTAAAGAAAAAACACTTGTTAATTTTCTGCCACTGAGTTGGTGGATTGCACGCATCACACGAAAACATTAGGTACTTTTGAGAGTGCTCGATTGTTCGAAGCGTTGGTGTAGTTGAAACATTCAACGATAAGCATTATGGCGCATAATTCGCTCTAGTGCTGTAATTGGAAAACTACCCTTATTAAGCATGACAAGGACAAACTGTTGTCAAGTGAAGGGCCGGCATAAAATTCGTTACTCTGTGGTTGTGGCGCAAGCAGTTTGCATTCGTACTTCGTAGTAATCTGTGGCATTCGTGCATGCCAAAGTGTAGTTTATTATACCGGAAAGTGCATTCTCGTTTCGGATTACCTATTGTGTGTTTATTTGCGATTGTTTTTCCTTTACTTTAACTATTTTGGCTATCTAATATGCCATCAATGTTACCAAAGAGAAGAGCCCCTATAACCAAGTGCTAGTGAACCTGTGCCACAACATCCTGAGAGGATCATACTGCTTAATTATTCAAGAACACAACACCCGATACACATTCACGCTGCATATTTACACAATATACGTGTGATATACAAATAAAAACAATATACAATATGATGCAACTATGTGAAAAATAGTCAATAAATAAGAAGCAAAACTACAGTTTTTATTTTATTCATGATTCCTAACTAACCAAGTTTTTCCTAATAGATATTCTTTAAAATCGCACCGAATAAAATGAATTTGTTGTAATAAGTATTAATTTACTTCATACTGAGTACATACTAAGTTCATAGGTTGACCTGTGTTACATTGAATATTAAACATAACCTCAAAAACATTTTAGTTTCCTAATAATTTAAAAATTCTCAGAAGTGTCCGTCAATAATCTTTGTTTTTACAATTATTTACTTACGATTTCGAACCTAGAAAATAATATTTCATGATTGTTGGTTCTTAGGCTAACTATGTATGGATGCTGAACAATGTCCTTTAACAATAGAATACTTAATAGATGCTACTGTGAAAAAAAATTGCGTGATATTTGCCGAGACCCCCCCCCCCTCTCTCCAACGTAAGATTAGATGAGATTTGACTCGACCCCCTCCTCCCCTTAAACATCTCACGTAATTTATGGACGCCCCCCAAGGGTATGTTGGTTATGTGTTGTAGTTATTGAATTTTATCATGAATAAAAATTTGTAAATAGGACCTTGGTGAAAGACATACACTACTTGCGATAATAAAACTGATGGAACCTCTTCTTGTAAGGGAAGAGAACTGAAGGGGAAATGTTTGTACGGCAAGCAATGATTTCATGCAGACAGGGTACTGGGTGCACAATAGCATAATAAAAACTAAAGGGATGCCAATATGCAGCTATAAAATTTACTCCATTGCTTAACTTTTAATGGAAGAAAGAGTAAAGCTGCTGTCTACTCTTTAAAGTTGACTTAGGATATCCTAAAAAAAATTCAGCAGTGAAATACTTAAAAATTCAACATGAGATACAAGATATCCTGTCCAGATCATTAAAGTCGTTCTTCCTACTCCAAATAACTTAGCTTGTAATGCCGTTAAGCCAACACAACGAAGTTCGTCGTATACGTCTATACGACAGTCTAGTATCCCTCTAAACCAGGGGTGCTCAAACTTGAACTGCTGGCGATCCACCTCAAAAATTTTAGACTACTTACTGCAAGTATGTGTGAAGCAGGGTTGTCGTACATACATGATACACCCACCTACCTACCTACCTAGGTAGGGTGTACCGTAGCATATATAGATATTCGAAGGTCGATCGCGATCGACCGTTTGAGCACCCCTGCCCTAAACAATTAATTCAAAATCATTACTATGATATTCTATAAACTTTTACAGGACGTTATACATGGGCTGAGAGCGAAAGGCCACGGACTGAAGCGCTACAAGGGTCGAGGGTCAATAATCTGTGCCCTTTTTAGAAATAAAACCGGGATATACGCCAACGCAGACTTCAGGAAAGGAGGCGATGTCGCTGGCATGGACTAAAGCTCTGATCACCTGAAATAGCGGTGCCATCATAATTATAGCGACCGTGATACAGTGATGAATGACGTCACTAGAACGTTGTCTATGTGAACAAAAAAAAATTTAAACAAAAAATAAAACCAACTTCAAAATCGGAAATGGAACTAACAGATATACAGTCGAACAAAGAACCTGCTCCTTTTTTGAAGTCGGTTAAAAAGTAAAAAATAATATCTGGTTCATGATTTGGAAGTCGGGCGGGTCAAGACTGAAAGACGTACTTATTAGTACTTATTCTTGACCCCGCCCGACTTCCAAATCATGAACCAGATATTATTTTTTACTTTTTAGTTCCATTTTCGAATTCAAAGGCCATTTTATTTTGTTTAAAAAAAATATTTCATCCATTTTAGTAAAAATTACATCGTCCAAATAAACAATGACACAATTGACGGAGAAATCGGTGAACATGCATAAGAACCATCGTGCATGCCTTTGAAATTTGAAGGTTTCCCTCGATTTCCCCGGATTCCACCACCAGATCCTGACTTGGTTCCAATGGGACCACCTCGGAACTGCACTCTTTGGAATAAAAAAAGGAATTTTGGGAATCAGCCCACAATTGACGGAGAAATCATTGAACATACATTAAATAAAAACAGTCGAACACAAAACCTCCTTTCCTAGAGAACGGTAATTCTATAGGGTTTTTTGCTTCCGTAATACAACGGCCGCTTTATGACGACACCGCTATCCTAGGAAATCAGAGATTAAGCAGTACAAGGCTCAAATTTGTGTGGTTTTTATTCTTATTTCGAAAGAACGAATCATGCTCATTTCCTTCTTTGAAATTCAAAGGTACTCAATAGCCATGTAAATAATAAAAAAGGTTTCATTTCATTGGATATTTTCAAAATTGGAACTGAGGGTATTTATTAAATATTAACATAAAGGTAATTCCAACTGGTATTAGCGAAAATAAATAAATAAAAGCTTATGATAGCTTTTGTTCATTCAATTCAATTCATTTCAAAACATTTCAGACATCAGCAAGTCTTTCGTAAAATTATGTGGAAAACATTTGATGACAATCCAAAAACTAAACTATGTACTTGAGATATTAGTACAGTCAATCTGTCGAAAAAAATATCGTTTCAGTGAAAAAAAAACCTAAAGGGTAAGTCTTGTTTTTTCTGTTGCCAAATGACGTCAGTAAGCCACCTTGGCGATGGGCATGTTCAACTCGTAGGCGTTTTTTGAAAAACTCAAAAAACCGTCAAAAATTTTTTTAAACGCATTTTTCTTGTTTTGTATGCATTTTAGAAACTTTTTTTTCGACCATTATTGTAGAGGGCGTTGAGTGCTACAATTTATGTCATTGTTGCAATCTCGTACAACAAAAACTGCACATTGTAGCTGGCGCTAAAGTCTCTAGAAAGTGTTTTTTCACTTTTTCACCCTGAAAATATCATTTTAGTGGAAAACTTTAAATGGCAAAGTTGTTTCGTACATAATTACCAACAACTTTGTATAAACAATTTTTTTGTATTACTTTCCGTTTTCAAGTTATAAATTGCGCTGGCATGAAAAATCCAATAGAGCGGTTTTGGGCAGTTCAGGTACACATTTGCAGTACACATTTCAATGTACGTTTTACTATTTTTTATTTTTTTTCATGATTAAAAAAACAAATAGTAAAAACGTACATTGAAATGTGCACTGCAAATGTGTACTTGAACTGCCCAAAACCGCTCTATTGGATTTTTCATACCTGCGCAATATATAACTTGAAAACGGTAAGGAATACAAAAAATTGTTTTTACAAAAGTTGTTGGTAATTATGTACGAAACAACTTTGCCATTTAAAGTTTTCCACTAAAATGATATTTTCAGGGTGAAAAAGTGAAAAAACACTTTCTAGAGACTTTAGCGCCACCTACAATGTGCAGTTTTTGTTGTACGAGATTGCAACAATGACATAAATTGTAGCACTCAACGCCCTCTACAATAATGGTCGAAAAAAAGTTTCTAAAATGCATACAAAACAAGAAAAATGCGTTTAAAAAAATTTTTGACGGTTTTTTTGAGTTTTTCAAAAAACGCCTACGAGTTGAACATGCCCATCGCCAAGGTGGCTTACTGACGTCATTTGGCAACAGAAAAAACAAGACTTACCCTTTAGGTTTTTTTTTCACCACTCAACCTACAGATTGACTGTACTATATTTTACTAACATTCGCTAACCCAGCGTGGGAGCACCTAAGAATTCAGAATCTCAAATAACTACTTACAAATGTGGACATACCATGCGAGCCAACTAAAAATAGCATTTTACTAAAATAAAAATTTCACAATGGTAAAAATTACCGTGAAGTTGACAGCTAACTTCATTCTATTCTTATTTGGCTTGGACAATACTCATTTTAATCTTCTTCATTATAAGCAACTCAATCCAGTAGGTGTGTCCTTTTAAAACAATTGATTAGATAGGTATCTGTGTCATTTTTAATTTACTGATATTGTAATGCATAAAGACAATATTACAATTAATTAAGTAAAAAAATAGTGTTAATGTAGAAAATGAAATGTAAGATCATGGTGCGAATAAAAAATAAGATGAAATATGATAAGGTGGAAATAGAATGATAGTACCTAATTGAAATTGTTAATTCTATGACTCTAAAGTCTGATCTCCTTAAAAGGAACACGTTTGTGAAATGTCACAAATTTTTGTTTAGCACGGCTTTTGAAAACATTGCTTTAATATAAATAAAATAAAAACTTAAAAGCTGCCATTGCCTATTCTGTGAAAAGGCCTTGACAACTAAAACAATGAAGTCGATCTACTGTATGAATAATTCCTTATATATAGGTTTTACTTGCTTTAAACCAGAAATAACATTTAGTCGTTGGTGTTATTATCCCATAAACAACATATCTTGACTCATTAGACATCTAATTCAAATCACACTAATTTTATAAAGGCGAAAGTTTGTGAGTGTGTGTATATGTTTGTTACTTCTTCACGTCTAAACGGCTGGAGCGATTTTCATAAAATTTGGTATGGTGTTAGCTGATACTCTGGATTAACACATAGGCTACGTTTTACTTCGGGCAAATATCACTAATAAACCGCAGGTAACACCGAGGGGCACTGCTAATTTTACAAATTTTTGAAGTTTGTCATTACAAAAGGTGCCTCATTTTCAAAACACCACGACTGCAGTAATCGTAAACAAGAATACTTAACGTTATAAGACTCTTTTTGCCACGGTGGTTTGTTGTGAACGAGTAATGCTCATGTCATTATTCATGTATATATATATATAGTCAATATACCATTTACATATAGACATAAATATGTGGTGAATTCTTGAATACGCACATTGTCTAAAACATTATTTTCTTGCATCTCCCTGAAAGACGAGACTCGTTCGAGATACTTTCTGTAATTTCAATCTTTATAGAAGCGCACAGAGTTTAATATAATTATGTACGGACAGTTCTATGTATGGATGTTAGTGCATGTATACAATGTTATCAGTGCGTATATTATGTTCGTCCTCAGCTTACAGTGTGTCTGCCCGCCGCTCCAACAATATTGAATATCTCAGTATTATAATACCATGGTATTGAATACCAGGTAGACTACGTTTAGTAGGTACTGACGGTGTGAAATCGTTATAAATAAAATTTTACATGTTACTTGTGGTATTTTTATTTGATGCTGTCCCCGAACTAAGATTATCCTTATATTTTGGGTCAATATATTGTCCTTTTAAAAAGTTACAGTTTGTTGTTCGTACTTTAATTATTATTGAGCTTCCTTTTAGAACGCAGCAATGCAAGAAATAATTTGGCAATACGTGTATGTTTAGCCGTGCTTTTCTTTAAAATACCGAGATATATATTCAGAAAAGCGCTCCAATCCGAGGGGTATATCCGCTATGCATTACCCCTTAACCAAGGCACCCAAACCTAGAATAAGTTTGAAAATCGATTGAAGAAATTTCAGCTTTGTATAGCCTAAAAAGCTGCTATACCTAACTGTGAGCAGTCAGCCTTATGCACCTAGTCTGTACTTACTTTCTCTAGTTGGGAGAGTTTGTACTCACTTAAAATTAGAAGCTGTAATTGATCTAAAAATAAAATTAAAGTAAAACAGTGAGAACCTGTCGTTTTCATTATTCAACCACATCTTACACTAACAGGAAATAAAAAAATTATAAAGATATTTCAAAAATGGCTTGCGGAAATCATAAAAAGTGTAATTACATCCATACAACATTTATTTAAATTATATAAATACACAAATCATTATCTGTGATAGTTTACTACACAGAATAAACAATATAAAAACAATAAGAATCAATATTATTTGATAATTATGTATACATAACTAAAACATTGGATTTAATCCGCATTGTAATTGCATTGCACTAAATCTTTACATACTTATACACCCCAGCAAACTTCTTGAGCATTGACCATGGTCTGCGCAATAGCAATTTCACATAAAAAAATTAAAACCGCCGAAAATCAAAAAATAATAAACCTTTCTTATCTTTATTTAAATTAATATTTTGTATCGACGCCAAGCCAACCCAAATAGTAAATGGCAACTCAGATCTATCAGACATGCATGCCACCGACTCCAAATATTGATTTGACTACAAATAAAGAAGGTTTATTATATTTTTGCTTTTCGGCAGTTTAATTTTTTGTTTAAAAAACTTTTATTTTAAATTTTTTGTGGCTATAACTTTGTAATATACAACTCGGCATCAAAATCTGTGAGTTGTTCACTCACAAATTTTTATGCCGAGTGAGGAGAGAGATCACCCCTATTTTCCCACGCTTAGGGTAGGGTTTTTGTTTTTAAATTTAACTGGGACCAACTTTGGGGTATTAACAAACTTTTTTTTTAAAATAAGAACCATTAAAATCTGACTATTCTGTTAAAAGATATGCGTCGTCATAGATTACAATCAGTGAGTGAACAATCAATCATCCCCTGTTTTCCTACCCTAAGAGTCGGACCAACGGAACAGTCTTTCCAATAA